TCTTCGACAAAAGCAATCTGGTTGTAACATTTATAATTTCGTGTATTAATGATCCGTGAAGATGGAGGTTTTAATCTATGCAGCTTGCGAACCGCATATATTACACTGTGGTCGCTGAACCCAACAGGCATTACTCCTGTTATGTATAGGTCAGGACGAGATGTTAAAAAGAGATCAATCAATGATTTTGAGTGTTGAGTTACACGAGTGTAGTCACAGATAATTTGCTTTAAACCGAATTCCTTAGACATATCAACAAAGCACTTACACGCCGCCGATTTTCTAGACCGTTTTAAGTCAAAATTAAAATCCCCAATGAGAATAACTTCTTTCTGTAAATCACTCACATTATCAAGCATATTTCGTAGGCCCTCGACATATGTCCTTTCGTTGTCGGAATTCGGTGGGCGATAAGAAGAGCAAATAAGAAAGCCTTTGCTTTTGGGAGGTACAATCTCAAGCCATAAACATTGAAGCTCACCGCTTTCGTCTCCGATCTCGTCACGCTCTTTGAAGTTTAAATTTGATGCAATGTAAACAAGAACACCGCCTTGATGACGAGTTTTGTCTCTTCGTATATGCGAATAACCATCGAGTTGTATTTCTCCATCGGCAATAGACGTATCAAGCCATGTTTCATTTAAGCATAACACATGAGGTTTGTGGGTTTCACAAAACACTCTAATTTCGTCGATCTTGTTGACGAGACTACGTATATTTAAGTGACAAATTCTCAAGCCCTTCTCTGCACAAAGTTTAAGATTGTGCCCTTGCTGAACTGGTCCAGGGTTTCTCTCAATATTTCCACCGGTTAAAAGCAGCGACATACAAAGAAAATATGCCAAAGTGGACGTACATCGCTTAGAGGTAATACGCTTGGAATTTACGGGCATGATTGTGGTCTTCGCAGCGATTTCATATACAGCAAACGATGCAGATTTAAGCGTAGAAACACATGATTTGATCGAATAATTGTTATGCAAGTGCTCATTGATAGGTAGACGTTTGTTTGACAAATTAACAGGCGAAATGACAGGCGTAGCGAGACATAAAAGCTGATATAAATACAGCATCGCAAAGACACCAACAACCGCCGCCATTTTGTTTGAAGTAGGTTCAGTGGGTTTAATGGGTTAACATGATCTTGATGGGTCTAGTGAACCCATTAAGTTGTATTGTGCCCTGATGTGCCCTACTTCCTTATTTTACTGTCTTTTGAATGCCAGATTATTGTTCTCTGTCTAGCGTCAAACCACAAATCATCAAGGCTAAGTGGAGAGTGCTGGACTGCTGGTGCCTAATGTGTTAATTTATTAATGGTTATTTTTAAGATAATCAATCTACCTCAGGTAGATTAATGCATGGGTCAAGTTTCAGCCAAGGTCGAAATATGGGTATACCAAGTTGGGCGCGATTTTTAAAAAGAAAACAAAGTTAGTTTTAACCTGTCATGGTTTAATGTTATAGATTTTGACCTGGTGAATTTTTTACCGATTTTTATTTTATTATTCGTTTTTCACATGAGCAGTTATATAGCCTAAAACGTCAATAAACACAGGTTAAATGGAAACCATTGTGCGGACTCATAAAATCGCTTTTCCCAATTGCCATTTTGGTTTAATGTTGTACATGGC